TGAGGTTGGAATGCAAGATCCAACAAGGTAGAGAGAGTTCTTCAAAGTTTCTAGGAGTAGTTCATGACAATCTGCGAACTTGTTGCTCTGTCAATGCAAATAGCACTACCTCCAAATTTGAAAAACATTCCATCTAGATATGTTCTTGTTGGTAAGCAAGTTGCCATTACTTTATGGAGATTAGCTTTAGGTGATTCTTTTGCTAGGTTGATAAAGCATTTTGGTGTTTCTAAAGCAATTGTCCATAAGTATTGTTAGAAGTTCTCCAACTCAACATTCCAGCATCTAGGACAATTTCTTGTGTGGCTAGTAGATCTGTCAATAGTAAAAATAGGTTTCGAGAGTTTTTGTGGCTTCTTGAATTGCTATGGTGCAATTGACTGCACGTATTTCAAAGTTGAACTTCCTAGAAACACTTTTGCAAATGATTATTACAACAAGGACAAAGATAACTCAATTGTCATGCAAGCAATCATTGATAGTGAAGCAAGGTTCTTGGATATTTGAGTTGGAGATCTTGGGAGTTGCAATGACATAACTATTTTGAGGAAGAGTTCATTCTACAAAAGAGCTCAATCAGGTGAAACTCTTAACGGACCAATAGTCTCAAGAGGCCAATACCAGTTTTGGGAATATATCATTGGAGACTCAGGATACTATAAACTTCCATGGTTGGACCATTTCCAAGTGCAAATGGAACTAAATTGAGGGAAGCATTCAACTTTTACTTGTCATCTTTGAAGATGGTATGTGAGAGAAGTTTTGGATTGCTTACAAGTCGTTGGAGGATGTTTAGAAAGTTGGTTAAAATTGAGACCATCACTCAACTAATAGTTGCCATAAAAACAGCTTGCATTCTGCATAACTTCTAGGTGACATAGGGGAAATAGACATTGAGCCTAAGCCAGTGACTAATCAACCACAAGGCTAGCGACTAGAGCCTCATGTCGCTGCTACAGAGGTTAGAAACATTCTCATTACTTATGTAGTAGACTTAAACAAATCCACTTGAAGCTCACAAATTTATTTGCTTTGGCATGCTCACAAACTCAAGTTTTGTTTTATTTTTCAGGGTTTTAATTTGGAGATTTCAGTACAGGGCTTGAAGGTGGGCGCAGCAGGGAACCTGGCTGAGAGCAGAGAGAGGGGGCTATGATGAGTTTAGAGTCACAGCTGCTGCCAATGTTGGTCTGATTCTAACATTCAGGTTCGTTTCCGTTCTTCTCATAAGGAAGGTTTTTAAATGATTAAAGGGGGTTTTGCGTGTTGAGTCGTCTGGCGGCAAGAGGAAGAGGGAAGAAAATGATTTGGAATGGCACTGCAGAAGATGCTTGGAAATGCAGCTTGAGGCTGTTGACGCAAGGGAATGTAGCTTGAGGCCATTGAAGCTGTTCTATCACTAGAAGTTGGGATCCTACTTGGTTTCCCAACGAATTCTTTGAAATTCCCAATGAATTCGGTGGTAGGGCGAGTGGTAGAAGGCCTGGATGTTGTCCGAAAGATTGCAAGTACTAGGGTGGTCAAAGATAACACAAGCAATCTTTACTTCCAGTATGTATTTTCTTCTCTTAGTTCCTTGGGAAAAATCTTATCTTGAATCCCCATAGCATTGCCAAGCTTATAGGTGATACCTGAGCAGTGGTTGCTGAGAGGGGATTCAATCAACCATACACAAAGATTGTCATTTCGCAGTGTGGCATTCTTGGTACTTACTCTTGCAAAGTTCTTTCTTTCCTTTCAATCTAACTCTGATCCATTCATGTTTCTATTGCTAGACAACTGATACAAACAGCTTTACGTGAACGCTCGTGTCCTTCCAACAAGAATGTTTTATCTAAATTGATGGAATCGATCCAAGGATATTGGCAGTGGCAATGCAAGATGGGAATGCTGGGCCTAAAATTGTTGATCAGGTAAATCATCACATCTTCATCAGTTCATCATCTCTCTTGTTGCTTTGGAGATAGTAATCAGTGACATTATAAACTACAAAAGTGAAGTTCATGAATAAGATAATGAATTGACTTACCAAAGAATCAACAATTGCAAACAAGGCTTGAGTTACTTGATCCACATTCTTCACCATCTGGCTATCCACAACTAAAGTATGCTCCATGAATTCTTCCTTCTTCAGATTATGATAGCAAATTTCCTTCTACCTATTTTCCATTGTATCAATGAGGCTCACATTGTTGTCACACAACACTCCTACAAGCTGTTTTGCAAGTGTGTGCGGAACTTTTTCCTCAGCTAGCCTGAATTATGCTTTTCAAGATTATTGTTATTTTATGTCATTGCCAAAAGTGATTATGAACAAAAACTACAAAAAATACCTTTAGGCTTTGATTCTCCACATGGAGGTAATAGTGATTGTTGTTGTGAAGCTCTTGGTGCCAGTAATAGTGATTGTTGGGATGTAGGTAGTGAAGACATTAATTCCTAAGTTTGTCTCTGTGAATTTACAATTTAACAGTCCTAAAGCCACTCGTCCATCATTGCATAGAGTTGATCATTGAACTTTGGTGGTAAATCAGCTTCATGATGTTGTTCTGTTGTCATGTTTCAGTATTGCTTTTACCAGTAGGAACATGATATTCATATGACTTGATTTTGTTGAACTCTTTGTAGATATACTCCCAACGAGATTGGCATTGCCCAGGCAAATGGTTGACACCATGTGTAAAACAGTAGCTGAAAACTTAGTGAATGACTGGAAGTCTAAAAAATCTAAAACTTACTTAGAAACTTGCTACCAATGAACACTTGTAGTCTTGTGCCTCTTCTGAATGTTACCTCGTTGCTATAAGAAGAAATCATGCTTCTTTGCTTCATTCAAAGCCAACAATTCATTTAAAAACCAATGCCCCCAATTTCTAGTTGGTTTCAAAGGCTTCGGTGGAGTGGGAGCAGTAAAATTCCCCCTGCTGAATTGAGAACCATCATACATAAACTTTTAATGACATTGAGTGGAGAACATAATCTTTAAATCATTCAACTGTTGCTCTCCCATTCTGCTCAAGACCCTAAAACTATGAATTGACATGTCAGCAATAGTGGCGGGAGGAAATAACTACCACATCAACATTTTAACCTTCTATTGCAGGTTTCATGGTGGTCAACTAGCTAGGCCAGTTTTGAAAAACATTCAAATTGATTTCACTGTCACAATGCCACTGTTAAAAAAATGACAGTGATGGTGACATGTACTAAGGCAACATTACTTCAAATTGCTGATGTGGCCATCACAATTTGATTGTGATAGTCACATGTGCAGTGTCTATTAAGAAAACCAAAAACTGAAGTAATACTCAAAACTGAAGCTATAAAAGATATTTATTGTGGAAAAATAAAGAATATAAAAATATGATATATGTGCAAATAGGTCATACACCTTGTGAAAGAATCATTTGCATGTCTGGAAACCATAAGCTAATGTGACCATCATCGTCTATTTATGCAATCAGCTGTTTGGTGTTCTTTTGCAAATAGCCTGCAGAAAAAAAATCTATCAAAATAAATATTTGAATTGTAAAGAATACTTGGGGAATGCATAAAAAATATGATCTTATATAACACTTTTTCTCCATCTAGCATGTCATAGAGGACAAAGTAGCAATCTATTTACATTATAACTCAATGTAGATTGAAATCACTAGAGGATGATCCTAAGGATTCAAAACAACTAATTATCCTTGTCTCCAAAGGCTAGTGCAATATTCTAAATCTGAATACCAATACTGGATTTGGAATGATGCTAGACTGAAAGATTAAAGGGAACTGAAGAGTTGAGTCTAGTGTTCCTAAGAGTTTAAGAATGATTAAGATTGTACTCCAACATGATAGTTTTGAAAATTTTCATATACTTATATTCCATGGTATTGGAAGAGAAGGGAATAGTTGGTCATAAAACATTTTACAAAGTGCTAGTTGCCATTGAAGAAGCAATATTCCCTTATACTTGCTTTATAATTATTTGTGACAACAACATTATATGTAAAACTCCACCCTGCAGAATAGAAAGAAAGTTTTCAAAGGGAATGGATGAGTAGGAAATGGCACTTGTAACCTTTCTTATTTCCAAATGGGAGCTAGAACATAGATTTGGATGCCTTGAGAGGCGCACTCTGCTTGCGCCATGTCAAACTTCTCATCATCAAATTACTTAACTATCCTTCATTATGCATCCCTATATATCCCTATACTAATTCCTAAAGCTCTCCAAGGATTTGGTTCTTGACAGGTATGGCATTGACTTTGCGGAAGATTTGATAAATTTCCTTGTAAAATCGCCTTGCATACATGCTTTGCAAAGAGCAATCCATTCAACATAGATTAAGCCCATCATAAAAGTGGGCCAATTGTCTTTAAATTTAATTCTCTGTACCAACATCCAATGGAGCCTTCGTAAATATCAAGAATGGGCTGAGGCCCAGCGGAGAGGATAACATATGGAACTCAGAGAGGAGAACATATGAAGCATGTCAGGCAATGAGGGAGATAGGATACAAGGAAGGCAATGGGAACGAGGTATCAATGAGCCCATCCCCACCCGCGCCTCAAACGCAAGCTTTTCACACCACTACTTTCCACTTTCAACAGGAGCTCATGATAGATTCTCACCGGCATGGTCTTGAGAATCTGGATTGCTACGCCTAGCATGGCACTGATGTGGAGCAGGAGGAGCGCAGTGCTGCTGCTGAAATTCACAACAGCAGCATTGGATCTTGTGTTGCTGGCTATAGCAAACCCACTGCACTTAACACTCCAGATAGATTTCTGAAGACTCTCCTATGCCAAATCTCTGTGCGTCCCGCTCTCCATCCATGGGGGATGGGGCGGCTCACGGAATGGCTGGATATCAACGATCGATCTTTGGGTCAACACATCAAAACAGTGAAGAATCAAGTCTGAACTGCTCTGAAGATGTTCTCCAGCATCACATAAGGCAATGCATCACTCACAAGGCTGGACTGGCACGTAAATTCCGCAGCATGCATCCCTCAATTCATCTCCCCGTGGTTTTTGCACGCGCTAAGAAACGTTGCCCATGCAACTCCATCTGCTGGCAAAGGCATATTCTCCAGGACATCCTCGGCCTCTTTCAATCGCCCTAGTCGTCGGAGAGCATCAACAATGCAGGTGTAGTGGCCTTGCGAAGGATCCAATCCATTGTCAAAGCTCATTGCCGTGAAGTAGCTTACTGCTTCCTTGACGAGCCCCAGATGGCTACACGCCGTCAAAACGATGGCAAACGCTGCCTTGTCGGGTCAAAGCCGTGAAGAAACATCGCCCAAAAGAGCTGGAACGCAGAATACGCATGCCAGGTCTGGGCATATGCTGCAAGAATCGTGTTCCAGGAGAGCAAGTTCCAAGTTGGCATCTCATCGAACGATTTCTTAGCTTGACGAATATTTGCATCTAGAGCATATACCACTAGAATTGTGTTCCATGAATAGGAATCCCAGCAGCAAACCAAAGAAAACGCCCGGATCGCCTCTTTGAAACGACCTCTCTGGGCATAAACAGCGATTATCGCGTTCCATGAAACAAGATCTCTGTGTGGCATTTCTTCAAACAAGTGTTTTCCTTGATCAACATCACCTTTTTGCGCGTATGACTTGATCATAATCGTCCACGACAGTACGCTGTGCTGAGGCATCCTATCAAACAAACTCTTGGCTTGAATCAAATCCCCATTTTGGGCATAGCAGCAGTGCATCGCCCCCCAGAGGATCGCGTTTCGGTGGACAATCTCCTGGAAGACATCCTCCGCCTCCTCCACGAATCCATTCTCCGCAAACATGACGAGCATCACCGCGCGAGTGATGCTGTTCTTCTCGGGCATGGAATCAAACGCGGCCTTCGCATCGCCCACTCGCCCGCGCTGCGCGAAACCCTGCACGAGGATCGTCCACGCTACCACATTCGTCGGGCATCCGATCCAGCACTTCTCTCGCTCGCCCAATCTCTCCGCCGCGAGCAAATCCCCGCAGCAGCGTCGCCCACGTCTTGCAGTTCCTCTCGGGCATCGCATCGAACACCGCCTTTCTCGATCCAATCCGCCCGCAATCGCCCAGCGCCTTGACCATCGCAGTGGAGGAAACTACGTCCCACACCGCCATTCGATCGAACGCTGCCTTGGCCTCCCCCGGATGCCCACTCTCGGCATACGCGGTCGCGAGCGCCGTCCACGACGCGATGTTCTTGGCCGGCAATGCATCAAAGATCCTTCTCGATTCCTTCAAATGCCCACACCGCGCGTAGACAACCAGCGTTTCATCCCACCAAGACGATGCCTTGTGAGCTACGCGCGCCATGGGAGATTATTCGAGGTATATTCATCACAAGGCCTTTGCTTTTATTTGTTAGACTGTAAAGAGTTTCCTTTCTCTAGCAACTTTAAGGAGCTTCCTCGCTTCGCTTGTGGCTCCAAAGAATCACCCCAGCCAAAACAAAATTCCTCCTTCCACCACTACTACTTCGCTACACTGCTCTACCAAAATCCACCCAGCAACACTACTTACTTGTGGAGTGTGATTTACAATTCCACCTCTTGCAAGTCGTCTCCAAACACTCCGGAGGAACTGGCAGCTTCGAATCCCACTGTACCGGACTGTTGATAGTGGTGCCGATGAATCGAACTTTCCTGGTGTTGGTTTTGCTGCTGCTGCTCGACCATCACTGGCAGAGTGACTTCCAGAGCTGGAGGTGGCGGCAACGAGACGGTCGACGGTGCTGCTGGATAGTGATTCGAATAGAACATTGCTGGCGAAGAGCTGCTCGAGAGAGGCGTTGGCCTCGGATCGTTTCTCATATCCTGTACAACCGGCTGAGCGAATGCTCCATTCCCGTTTGAGAACGCTGTGTCGGAGACAAAGGCTGGTGCCGAGGAAGGATCCACCGAATGGTTGCTGTTGATATCTGGAGCAGCGGCAGCAGCGGCCGCAGGCACTAAAAATCTCTCTGGAGCCAAAGGCTTTGCGCTTGCCTTTGGCACCATGCCAAACAGTGGAGGAGAGTCCGATGATGTCTTGGATGGTGTTATGCTACCTTTGTTGAATGTATCGACATATCTACAGAAACCTCGTGAGATTGGAGTGCTGGGAATGACCAAAACGGTACCTTGATCTAACGTTTTGATGTGCGCAAGCTGCGTACTGGTTACTGCTCGGAGGCATTGGTGGGATTCCAGAGGAGGAGCCAACGGAAGGTCTGGTGCTTGTGCCTCGGCTCCTTCTCCAACCCAGCGCTTCAGTGTCTCGTCGTATCTAAACTTGTTGCTGTCAACAAGCTTTGCCTGCATCACATACCCGACCATCAATCAGCTAGCGCTCTTTCCAAAGCTTCTACAAACCTCCTTCGAAGGTGTTTTTATGAAGCCCATCACTCTTTGCACGAAAGAAGTAAAGACGCCTCTGTTTGGCATTCCTTTCGCTGAACTAACGATCTGATGAAAGAATACAGGTCTTAATCGAAGGTACACAAGAGCAAGTCGAGTTACCTGTGCAGGCCTAAAGTCAGTCTCAGAAATGCTTCTTGCTAGCATGTTGGATCTTCTCGTATTATCACTTATGGGTTCCATTGATGCTGACGAGGCAAGTGATAACTGCTTCTACTAAAAGCTGTTGTGGGACGGTTATTAATATCAGCATTATTGGAAGCTTTTGGGGGCACAATTGACATCGAGCCTCCCTGGATAACAGGAAAGTGAGTATAAAAGCCGAGTGTCCGCTTACACATCTGAGAGTGGATATGAAGACGCTCTTCCAAGGCTACAGCCGCTTCTTTGCACACATCAGCTGCATGGCCCACTGTTTTCAATGTTTTCAACACCGCTTGGCAATACTTCGAAGAGAAACCTTGTGTTAACGAAGCATACAGTTAAAAATCACTCCAACCTTAAAGCTTTGTTTATCTTTCCAGCTTCAGCAAGCATCAACGCATAAATAAGCTTGTATGGCTGAAAAGGAAGTAAAATAAACTGGGAATTGCCGGTCACTCTTGCAAATTCGTACACTTCCATTCGCTGATGAAGAAAAGGTTGGATCAACTCAAGATTTCAACCTTTTCCGGTGATGGTGGTGTGGATGAGTGTCTAGCTTGGCTAGCTAATGTAAAGAAGTTTTTGGCTACTAAAGGAATTCCGAATGTAGAGGCTTTAGTGGCTATTTCAATGGTTTTGCGTGTGGAATTAGCTTGAGGAGTCTTGTGCTGCAGATAAGAAACCATTAGTATCTACAATGGATGAGTTTGAGGCTGCTTTCCATTTACATTTTGCTCCTCACTATGACGTGGAGAATGCTCACACCGAACTTCGACATTTTCAGCAAGGGAAAATGAAACTTGGGACTATATTGAGAAGTTGACTTACTTAATTAATTGTGTTCTAATGAAGGATCCAGATCAGAACAAGTCCTACTTCATTGATGCCCTTCATAGTGAGAGCATGTGGCAACACTTGCATCATTCTCAACGTACAAAGAATTTGGAGGAGCTCTTTGATGTTGCTTATTGACAATAATAAGTATAAGTCTCACAAGCGTTTGAGGAGTCTTTCTGTTGAGAATCGACATGATGATTGTTGTGGACACTAGGATGGGAATAAAACACAAGCTGAAGTTTATGGTGGCTACTTCGGGTACATAGGGGTCAAAGAAGCAGAAATCTTTTATGAAGAATTATAGACAAAGTTGTTAACATTGCTGCGAGCTAGGACACTACAAGGCTGATTGTCCACAATGAAGAGCAAATAACATGGCATCAAGAATGGCCAATCTTCTACTAACGGTAAGTTAAATATTAAGAAGTTGCAAACTTTGCAGCGCAAGGATAACAAGGACAACCATTCCAATTGGAAGAAGAGGCTTTCGATTGTTGCTCGTCAACTTAACTATGTGTGGAACAAGATGAAGGTCGAGGACACTCATGCATCAGCTTGCTGGTTCCATGGTAGTCCAATGTGAATTTTACTGGACAGTGGGAGTGATGACAACTTTATTTCCACAAAGTTTGTTGAGGAGCATGGCCTGGTAACATGAGAAGTTCTTCCATATATGGTAAAAGGTGCAACTACCTTTACTTGGCGTTTCAATACTTCTACATAAGGGTTGGAAATGTTGGTTGGCAAAACCACATTTGTGAAGACTTTTTATCTCATAAATCTTCATCATGTGTAGTTCATTCTTGGGATGTCATACTTGGTGAAGGTGAATCCAGAGATAAAGTGGAGTATTAAACGTGTCTTGTTGGAGTATGGTGGCATTAAAGATGTGTGGTTTGGAGGAGTTCAACCTCTAGTTGTTATGCTCTCTACTACATCTTTGAACCAGGCTTGTCATAAATGAAAAACACTTTTGAGTTACTTATTGTTTGTTCATAACTTGGGGGACCAAGCCACATGTGGAGGAGAGGCAGTAGTGCAAACTATACTCGAAGAGTTCTTTGATATTTTTCCCTCTAAACTTTCTCATGGATTGCCTCCATTACGAGGTGTGGAGTATGGGATTATGTTGGAGCCAGGGACACAGCCAATTTACCAACGTCCATTTCAACAAAAATATGGAAGAGAATAAGGTGCATTTGCACAAAGTTCTTTTGTTACTCCATAACATCAAACTTTATATGAAGAAGAGCAAATATGAGTTTGCAAAGTCAGAGGTGGAATATTTAGGCCATATTATGACATCCAAGGGTATCAAGACAGGTCCAAGGAAGGTGGCTGTGGTGGAGAACTAACTTACACTAACTTCAATGGCTAAGTTATGCAATTCCCTTAGTATGGCTAGTTACTACTGGCATTTTCAGCATACGTTTGCAGAGGTGGCTATTCCTTTGACACGATTGTTGCATAAGAACGTGCCATTCGAGTGGAAGAAACCACATGAGGATAGTTTTGTGGCATTGAAACGGTTGTTGAGCGAGGTTTCAGTGCTTCACATTGCTGATCTATCAAAACCTTATGAAGTTATATGTGATGCGAGTGGTTATACACCGAGAGGAGTTTTCATGCAAGAGGGACAGCCTATTGCATATGAGAATCAAACCCGCAGAGCAACGCTATTCCATATATGAGCAAGAGTTACTCTCCATTGTTTATGCTTTATGGACGTGGCGGCACTATCTTTATGATGCAGTGTTCACAGTGTTGACGAATCACAAACCCTTTGTATATCTTTTCACATAGAAGGAGTTGAACACTAGGCAAGCTTGTTGGATGGTCAAACTTATGGAATTTTGGGAGTTTCTTATTGAGCATCGTTCAGGAAAATCAAATGTGGTGGCAGATGCTTTATCTTGTGTTTGCCATGTGATGGCGTTACAAACATAGTTTTGTCATCATTTGAGTAAGGTGGTTAGCGAGTTTGAGCAGTTGGTTGAGCATGCTTAGGCTCAAGATGTTGAGGTGGTCTCATTGCAAGCCCAAATGGAAGCATCTTTCTCATTGGTGAATGGGATTCTTTACTACAATGGCCATGTGTATTTGCCATAGTGTAAGCTCCTGAGTTTGGACTTCCCGGGAGGTCACCCAGCCCAGTACTATTCAAACCCAAGGACGCTTAACCCCAAATATCCCAAGACCCTTAACCGATTGGAAAAGGGGGTGCACTCTTGTTCATGGGCCCTTTCCCTCTATATTTGAACCCCAATGGATCGTCTCTCGAGTCGTTCCCTTTGGTTGCTTACAATCCACCACGCTTCCCTGCAAGTTCACGCCCTCGTGAACGGAAGCTGAGAGCCGCAGCTCTCCCGAGAGCCTCGCTCTCTTGACACCCTACCCCTCGGGTCGAGCCCAGTGGGAGCAAACTGGACCAGCCAGATGTCAATCAACATGTGGTGCGATTCCCCTAAGCCAACCAACAGAGTCGGACCCGAGACCCCCTCTGATACCAAATGTAAGCTCCTGAGTTTGGACTTCCCGGGAGGTCACCCAGCCCAGTACTATTCAAACCCAAGGACGCTTAACCCCAAATATCCCAAGACCCTTAACCGATTGGAAAAGGGGGTGCACTCTTGTTCATGGGCCCTTTCCCTCTATATTTGAACCCCAATGGATCGTCTCTCGAGTCGTTCCCTTTGGTTGCTTACACATAGGTGGATGCATTAATTATTCAAGTTTTATTCCACTATCATGATCGTCCAGAGGCTAATCATTTTGGGGGGAAGAAGACATATGAGTTGATTAAGCATAATTTCTATTGGAAGAGTATGAAGGTTGATATCCTTGAATACTGTAGGTCATATAAGTGTAAGGAACCAACTCGCCGAGGTGTCGTAGGCTAAAGGAACCCCGAAAGCATGACCAAAAATGACAAAGAGTTCATCAGATGGGACAAAGTCGAAGATCGAGTCCAAGACCGACTCTAGGACCGAGTTCGAGATCGAGTCCGGAATCGAGTCCAAGACCGACTCGGGGACCGAGTTCGAGTCCGAGTTCGAGACCGAGTTCGAGACGGAGTCCGAGATCCGAAATCGGGTCCGAGACCGAGTCCGAGGTCGAGTCCGAGGTCGGGTCCGAGATCGGGTCCGAGATCGAGTCCAAGATCGAGTCCGAAACCGAATCCGAAGTTGGATCCGAAATCGGGTCCGAGATCGAGCCAAAGACTAAGTCCAAATACTAATACGGGTCAAGGGGTGAAAGCCCAAAGCGTGCGTCTCCCAGGGGGGGGGGGGGCTGCAGGGGGTTCCAAAAGTATAGTAGGGATAGTGAGGTCCAGGAACCAGTTTAGAAGGGACTCTCCAGTGGGGCTCCCAAACTGACTTGAGGTTGGGACTGGGACCGAGGGGCCTTGGGTGGGAGTGAGCATGGACTTGGTTGGTGCCGGAGGGGCCATCCAAGGAAGTGCTCAAGAGCAGCTCCCACTCCCGAAAGGGAAACCGATTGCGGTGCTCCCGGCTCATGTGGAGTGGTGCCCCACTTGAGTACCATGCGGCTCATTGGTCCTCGCCCTTCCTAGGGGCTTGGGCCTTCCTTCGGGATGGAAGTGGGGGGCGAGAGGTACCCATACCGGGCCGCTAGGCCACGGTGTTTCGCCCCGGCGTCCCGAAGCAAGTGTTGCACTCAAGACTTGGGATTTAGAGGGTCCCATGATCAAGTCTTGTGGTACCAAAGGGATGTTAGGAACCTGGAAGCTTGGTGTGCTTGGCTGCTTGTGCTTGCGGGGAATGTAGCCGAACCTTTAGTCCAGTCTAACCTAGGGAGGGGGATTGGGAGTGATTTGGGAATCCGTGGATGGATGGCTAACACTCCGTTGCTCGTGCAGTGAGTAGCTGAGACCAAGTAGGAGCTGGTACCATAGGCGAGAACCTTGGCAAGGGAGCTTAGCAAAAGCCAAGGCGGTGTTGGACGGATAAACGGGGTAAGCTGGCAAATTGGAAAGGAAAAATTTGTGGCTTACAATAAGCTCTATCAACGAGTAAAGGTGATATGGGAGAAGCCAGGGGGACTTTTGCAACCTTTATCTATTCCTCAGATTTATTGGTGTCTTGTTTGCCACGAACACAGAGGGAAAAGAAGCAAATGTCAGTCATAGTGGATCATTTGACGAAATATGTGCAGTTGTTAGCTTTTCGGAAGAGTGTCACTGCCTTAGACTTGGTTGCGGTCTACTTGGAGAAGGTTTTTCCTGATTTTGGTTTGCCAAAGGACATTGTTATCAATTGATATTCAAAGTTCACTAGTGGATTTTGAAATAGCTTTGCAAAAGCTGTGCAAATGACTTTGAAACTCTCGAGTGGAGATCATCCTTAGACAAATGGGCAAACTAAGCATGTGAATCAGGTAGTGGAGGATATGCTATACTATAGCATTAATCAAAGGTAAGGACAATGGGATTTATATCTTTCATTGGTGCAATTTGCTTACAATAATAGCCAACACAATGGAATTAAGGTAAGTCCTTACTTTGCCATGTTTGGAAGGCATCCTCAAACAGCTGTGGAATTGGAATTGCATTTGAGTAAGGATGTTCAAGAAAAACTTGATTCAAAGGTGACTAATTTGGCCACGAAACTTGATGAGATTCTGGTGGTGTGCAAATGGAATTTGCAAGCAACTTTGGATAGAGCGGAGAAGTTTGTTAATGAGTATCGCCCATTCCAGGAATATAAGGTGGGTAATCATATCTTTGTGCGAGTGATTTTTTCATCAAGTGAGCAGTGGAACACTTTAGTGCCTTTGCAAAATAGGAAGAATGATAAACTTTCTCATCGGTATGCTGGCCCATATGAAGTGCTAGAGCGGATCAGTAAGGCGGCTTATCGGGTGCGGCTGCCAGTTGGGGTGAAAATTCATCCGATATTTTATGTTAACCAGTTGAAAGGTATATTATCTCAGAGTGCCGGGCCCAATGCCTCCTTGATGTATACGGCTATAAAAGATGGATCAAAAGCTTGAGTAGGGTTCCCCAGAAAAGGTGAAAACTAGTACAACTCATCCTTGCGACAAGGACTTTGTTAGGGGGAAGAATTGGCTTTGACCACATGGTTAACGTCAGGCCATGTTAGGGTAAAGAACTTAACATACTCTAGGGCTCATTGTAGTGCAAAAGACCTTTTGAGGTAGCGCGGGGGTGGTTAGGTGGTGAGGAACTTCAAAAGGAGGTGTAATTTAGTTTAGGAAGACTAGATTATTGACTTTTCGTGCTGAGTGATAACACAATTGTTGTTCATGATGTGAGGAATGTCATGGATGGGGACATAACACTGGAACTTGTACCAAACGTCAATAATATGCTAAAAAATATTCTTATTCTCTTTTGACATTTATGGATAATAGGAGTTCTATTTCTTGTGCTTCTTCTCTATCACCAACAAATAACAAAAGTCCTCCTATTCTCTCTCCTCCACTCTCTTTCATAACATGCAATATAGAATTAATGGAGGATGAATAGTTTATGTTTGTTTTTGCTGCAGTTGTAAATAGTATAAATGTGATGATCTTGGTGGACTTTGGCCTAGCAATTTCCTCTATTCAGTGTTTAATTGTTTGAAGTTTGCAGTGTGGGCATTTGGAGGAATCGAGAAGGATCTTGGATGCATTGCCAGCCAAGAACATCACGTCGTGGACGGCGCTCGCAACTGCGTATGCCGAGAGTGGGCATCCGGGCGAGGCCAAGGCAGCGTTTGATCGAATGGCGGTGCGGGACGTAGTTTCCTCCACTGCGATGGTCAAGGCACTGGGCGATTGCGGGCAGATTGGATCAAGCAAGGCAGTGTTTGATGCGATGCCCGAGAGGAACTGCAAGATGTGGGCGACACTGCTGCGGGGATTTGCTCGCGACAGAGAGATTGGGCGAGCGAGAGAGGTGCTGGATCGGATGCCCGAGATGAATGTGGTAGCGTGGACGATCCTCGTGCAGGGTTTCGCGCAGCACGGGTGAGTGGGCAATGCGAAGGCCGCATTTGATTCCATGCCTGAGAAGAACAGCATCACTCGCACGGTGATGCTCGTCATGTTTGCGGAGAATGGATTCGTGGAGGAGGCGGAGGATGTCTTCCAGGAGATTGTACACTGAAACGCGATCCTCTGGGGGGCGATGCACTGCTGCTATGCCCAAAATGGGGATTTGATTCAAGCCAAGAGTTTGTTTGATAGGATGCCTCTGCACAGCATACTTTCGTGGACGATTATGATTAAGTCATACGCACATCGAAGTACAAACCAAAGAAGCATCAATCAGCAGTCGAACGAGCCGAGCAGTGCATACTTGATCCTCTTCCAGTCGATCCACTTTCCTGTAACCAATGGTGCTACCGTTGCTCACCAGGTACCAGCCCAGCTCGCTGTCCCATGCCTCGACGTGATATTCCATGACCCTTTGTCCCATGTTTACTGGCTCTCGGATCTCCAGTGCGTTGAACTTTGAGACCTTGCCAAGATCAAGCTCGATCCAGCCGGTCGACTCCCCTTGCATTGGAGCCCAGAAAGTTTCCATACACTCGTCAAGGATTTGCTTCGGCCCGAACGAAGAGCTGCGAACGCTGCTTGCTGTCACGGACAAGGGATTCGCTGCTAAGTTGACGCTGAAGATGGAATCTATGGCGGAGCTAAACCGCTCCAGCGTCTGGAAGTCGGATTTGTCGATCAGTCCCGACGAGTTTGGAGGGACGTTGAGCAGGAGCAAGCAGTTCCTGGCAGATGATTTGTAGAAAACGTCGAGCAGCTGCTCCAGGGATTTTGGAGCCTCGTTCCTGTGCCAAAACCAACCGGGCCTGATGGAGATATCGCACTCCGGAGGGAGCCAGTCGGTTCCAGCACCAGACGTCAAGTACCTGTTGATGTTGCGAATTGGATCGACTCCTCCGGACGTGGCTTGGGCTCCTCCGGGCGCGGCTTGGACTCCTCCCGCTGTGGCTTCGGCTCCTCCCACCGAGGCTTGGCCTCCTCCTGGCGATGATCCATGGCCTCCTCCTCCCGGAGAAGAACCGCGGCGTCCTCCTCCTAGAGTAGAACCATGGCCTCCTCCTCCCGGGGCACCCCCTCCTCGAGCCGCCTCAGAACCATGGCCTAATCCTCCCGGGGCCAGATTCAGAGATCCGCGGCCAACCCCGGCCACCCCGCGCCCTCCTCCCACTCCATGGCCACCTCTCCCTCCATGGGCACCTCTTCCTCCTCCTGTTGGTGAAGATAGAGCACGAGCAGGCCCAGATCCAGCTCGATCGGCCCCATTTCCCAGAGCTCTGTTTCCTCTTCCAACCCTAAAATCGGATTACCTGCTTCTTCCTCTCCTCATAAATCTCCGCGGCTGCTGCCATGTTTTAATTCTCGGGCCGTGCCGCGAGATCAGAACTTCTTCGCAGGCACGCCAAACCCTAACTTAAGAATCTTCTCGAATATTTCCGGAATAATTTTTAACAACTTCCCTTAAAATAAAATGACCCCCCCAACACTTTAGATTTGGTCGGGGTTTTTGAAAATTACTTAAGAATCCTCCCTTTTGTTTTCGTGCGAATCCAAAATACTAATAATTTTCCCATAAAAAATAAGGGTAAGTACATTACTTTAGCTTAAGTTATTGTGCAAATAGGGAAAACGTAAATTTTGAACTTTAATTTTCCGGTAACTCTTGGTCCAGATAAACATCTCTAAACATGCTCATTTAATTAACCACCAATGAACGGCAAAGATATCTTTACCAGCACTCCCCCACTAATTTTCTTTCGAAAATAAAAAACTACAATCACACAATATTTGGAGCTGGAAGAATTGAATCCAACTTAATTTCAGCAAACTGATGAGGATGGACAATCTTTATTTTCATTTCTTTTGCACTTCTTAATTTACATTTCTTAATTTGTTTCTACTCTTCTTATACACACTTCTTCGGTGTATTTGGCCCATTATATTTAGCTGAAACACATGTACATGTACACTAGTACACTACGTCACTTGTTGCTAATTCTCAACGATTTGTGCATCTGCTGGTTGATACACACACACACTGTGTAGGGCTAGCTCCATCCACAAGAAAGCCTGGGCACCAGAGGCTGGAAGAAGTCGTCACAGGAGAGAGCAAGCAGGTCACCACTCACAACAAGCTCAAAAAATCTGGAAGGAAGACATCGCCGAGGAGCTGGTGAGTACATTGCAAGAAACAAATGCCGTCGTCACCAGCTTCCACACGTCTTCAACGTGCTCTAGGAGCAAAAACCCAAAGTTGGTCATGCCGCAAGCCACCATCACCTTGCTCCTGGAACATGAGGCGGTACTTGCTATCAGCAAAGAGTTTGGGTACCGGCAAGTCTTCATACTAAGGCTTATTATCTGAATCTAGGCACTCCGTTTTGGGGCACCTGTTGGCAGGTTTAGTCAGCATTCCTGGATTCTGCTACCAAAAAGAAATTTAAATTTAAGTAACGTGTCATCCTCCTTTTGCATAGTTTTAACTTTTAAATGTTAATTTTTTCTCCGTGAAGTTCAGGTTGACGGTGGTACTTTGCTCACTCAGCGGCCCATGTTTCTGCTTGACTCACAGAGGGTTTAAAACCAGGGATAATTGCAAGAAAAAGCACTGACATGTTTTCAAAAGTAGTTGTCACAGGAACATCCGCCATCCTGGAACACATGAACCCGACTGGCATCTTTGCAGATGATTAGCCTTTTTTCCAGCTTAGAGAAGTGGCCGCATGGCAATCGTCACAAACTCGGAGATTTTTCACAATTCTGATGGTCTCCTTCTGGTGCGAGTTCACCAGAGCACACCCCAGCGCAAGCTTCTCACTGTGGCCGCACAGGTGATCCTCTTTCTCTTCCTCGGGTATGTCTTTTAGAACGTTGATCACATCGCTCGCATACCCCTCCTCTTTCATTCTCAGCAACAATTGCTTGAGCTTGGCCGCAATCTCGTCACTCTGTGAGTGACTCCTATCCTCGACAGAAAAAGAATGCACTTTTCCTGAGCAAACATCCGTCCACCAGCTTCTCCCGGGCTCCCTGAAGCTGCCTTCACCTCTCATTCTCTCCACAACAGCGGCCCTTTCACTGAGCATCCCCAGGTTTCCAAATATATTGGCCATCAATGCGTAGGGCGTGCCGCTCTTGGGATCCATCTCCACAAGACGCTCAAACGCGAGTTTGCCGATCGTGTAATTCTTCCACTTCCGGCAGGCTCCGAGCAGGGACGTCCAAACCACTGCATCCGGTTCAAAAGGCATGGCTCTGAGAACTCTCACAGCTTCGTCGAGGAGGTTAGCTCGCCCGAGCATATCGATCAGGCACACATAATGCTCCAGACGTGGCTTGACTCCATACTGCTTGGGCATTTCATCCAGAAGCTGCCTTCCTTTCCCGACCAGACCACCATGGCTGCAAGCGTTCAACACCGAAACAAAACTCACATCGTCAGCTTTACAGCCCTCCTCCTGAGTCATGGAATAGAAACGCTCCAAGGCCTCGATCGATCGGCCCTGGAGAGTGTAAGCCTGTATGAGAGAGTTCCAGAGACCCGTGTCGTCCCGAGCTCGGCACTCGTCAAACGCTTCCTGAGCAGAATCAACATCACCGCATTTGCCGTAGAAGCTCACCAGGCTGGAGCCCAGAACTGGATTGTTTTTCAGCAGCCCTTTATGCTTCACCAGCTGGTGAATCTCCCTCCCGAGCTTGATCGCCATCACACTCCCGCAAGCAACAAGGACGCAGGTGTAGGTCCAAGCATCAGCTTGAATGGTGTTATCAGCTCTCAGGGCAGAGTAGTACTCCAGAGCAAGTTCAGCTCGCCCGTTCGTGTTGCAGCCCTGGATGATCGCATTGTAGGAGACAACACTCCGAGTTCCCATGGAGTGGAAAATCTTGCGAGCCTCCTCAAGCTCGCCACATTTGCAGTACATGTCTACCAGGCAATTCGCCACAAACAGATCTAGCTGTTTCTTCTCCTTGCTCAGCATTGAATGGATCTCCATCCCGATGCGTAGAGCTCTCTCCCTCTTCTCACTGGATTCGGTAGCAAGTGTGGAGCAGGCGCTGATCACCGCGACATGAGTCTGATCGTCGGGTTGAATGGTGTTATCAACTCTCAGGGCAGAGTAGTACTCCAGAGCAAGTTCAGCTCGCCCGTTCGTGTTGCAGCCCTGGATGATCGCGGTGTAGGACACAACACTCCGAGTTCCCATGGAGTGGAAAATCTTGCGAGCCTCCTCAAGCTCGCCACACTTGCAGTACATGTCTACCAGGCAAGTCACCACGAACAGATCTACCTGTTTCTTCTCCTTGCTCAGCATTGAATGGATCTCCATCCCGATGCGTAGAGCTCTCTCCCTCTTCTCGCTGGATTCGGTAGCAAGTCTGGAGCAGGCGCTGATCACCGCGACATGAGTCCGATCGTCGGGTTGAATGGTGTTATCAACTCTCAGGGCAGAGTAGTACTCCAGAGCAAGTTCAGCTCGCCCGTTCGTGTTGCAGCCCTGGATGATCGCGGTGTAGGACACAACACTCCGAGTTCCCATGGAGTGGAAAATCTTGCGAGCCTCCTCAAGCTCGCCACACTTGCAGTACATGTCTACCAGGTAATTCGCCACGAACAGATCTACCTGTTTCTTCTCCTTGCTCAGCATTGAATGGATCTCCATCCCGATGCGTAGAGCTCTCTCCCTCTTCTCGCTGGATTCGGTAGCAAGTCTGGAGCAGGCGCTGATCACAGCGACATGAGTCCGATCGTTGGGTTGAATGGTGGTACAAGCTCTCAGGGCAGAGTAGTACTCCAGAGCAAGTTCAGCTTGCCCGTTCGTGTTGCAGCCGTGGATGATCGCATTGTAGGAGACAACACTCCGAGTTCCCATGGAGTGGAAAATCTTGCGAGCCTCCTCAAGCTCGCCACACTTGCAGTACATGTCTACCAGGCAAGTCGCCACGAACAGATCTACCTGTTTCTTCTCCTTGCTCAGC